GAAGCGCCGCTGCAGCTGCGCTCTGCGCGCCCGCCCGTCGTCGCCGCCCGGCTCGGCGCCGAAGCTGTCGCTGTAGAAGACGCCGGGGTCGTCGAAGCCCGACATGACGCGGGGCAACACCTGCGCTGAGCCGCTCGCTCCGGGCCTCCGCGCCGCGCAGCGCCGCCGACTTTCGCGGGAAAAGCAGGGGCGGGGCCGGCCCCGGACCGCGCTCTCCCATTGGCCCGCCGGGGTCGCGGCCAGCGATTGGGCCGCTCGGGCCCCGCGAGCCCCACCTCCCGGGCCCAATGCCGAGGCGGATTGGCTATGGTTGCGTGACGTCAGGTCACGCCCCTTCCTGGGCTCCATTTTGTGCGCGGAGCAATTTGGCGCGAAACTTGGGAGGGGAAGGAAGAGCCTGGGCGGCAGCGGGGGCAAAGATGGCGGCACGCAGGGAGGTGTGGCGCTTCCGGGCGCCTGAGCGACTACTGCATCCTCAGTGCCCGAGAGGAAAGGCCAGCAGCCAGAGCTGGCGAGGGGCGCGGGGAGGCTGAGGCAGGAGGACTGCAGATTTGAGCCCAGCCGGGGCTGCTCAGTAGCTTAGTCTCGAGGCAAAAAATAGGCCCGTGGACAGAGCTCGGTGCGAAGGCCCTCAGTTCCACCCGCAGGAGAGAAAATTAATTTTTTGTCGGTGCCGAAAGCCGGGGGAACCGCCGCCGCAGGGCCGCCCGCGGCCGTGCGCGTGGAGGACGCGGGTCCCCGCTGCCGAAGGAGCGCCCGGCGGGCGCGGCCGCACCTCGAGTCCAGGCCCGGGAGGCTGGGCAGGGCGCGCACTGGAGCGCGACCCCGGAGCCTGCGTGGACTGTGCGGAGGGCTGGCTCTGCGCTCGACCCCCGCACCCCACGCACAGGCAGTACCCACGGCCTCTGAGCCTCCTTCGCGGCGGCCGCGACCCTGGACTCCAGCCTGGCCTGGAGGGACACCCGTCATCCCCGCACTGCGGAAGGCTGAAGCAGGACGAGGCGCACAGGCGCCCGCGCAGCAGGGCGGAGGCCAGGACGCGTGCCGGCGGCCCTGCACAGGCGCCCGCGCCGGGTTCCGGACTGTCCCGGGGGCTCCGATGCTCGCCCCGGCCCCCCTCCAGCCTGCCCGGGTGCCGACTCCCCAAGCGAAGGGTGTGTGTTGGATGCCCTTGCCACCGCGGGCAGTGGAAGAGCCTGGGTGGGCGGATCAGCCCGCCAGGAGGAGCGCCCTGTGCAGTGGGCCGACCCTGCTGCGCTCGTGTGCGCTCGTGTGCGCGGGGGCCGGGGAAGGCTCCTGGTGCTTGTGACAGGTAACATTCAGGTGCAGTAGCCGGAACTGGAACTCGGGGATCCCCGAAACCCCAAGTCGCCGTGCAAAAGCCTTCCATCCCCAGAGCCCGCTGCGGACCTGAGGGAGGCCCCAGCCCAGGAAGGCAGGCTTGTGTCTCTGCAGTGCTCTGCCCAGCAGTGCTGCACGTAGGCCTGCTGGGTCGAGAGCCCCTGCCAGCCCTGTCACGCAGGTGTGGGCACACGCACGCAAGTCCAGAGAACAGGGCAGGCTGATCCCCAAGGGTGACAGAGCCGTGCAAACACTCCAGGCTGCCATCACGACGCCTTTTATTGTGCCAAGGCCACGCGTGGTGAGTCCCCCCCCCCCCCCAGATCCCAGCCCTGTTACAAAACCACAAACACAACAGAGGCTCCAGTTCAGGCTGAACCAGGATGGAGAAGCTGCTCTCACAGAAATGAGACAAACTGAAGACACAACACTTATGATATAAAAATGTCCGTGTGGAGAGTGCCGTCGCTGCGGGGAGGCTCAGGTCATGGCCCCGTGGACCGCTGCCAGTCGGAGGCCTGGGCCGCAGGACGAGCCCTTGGAGCGCAGGGGTGTGGAGGGCGCGGGGCCTGAGAGCGTCCCCGGACTGAGTCCATGCCCGGGGCCAGCGCCTGATGTTCACAAGGCATAGAGGCTCACGGCAACCGTGGCCACCAGGAAGGTGAGGAGGGTCAGCACCCATGGCAGCAGCGGCCTAGGGGGGCTGCTAGGGAGCAGGGCCTTGCCTCGGGGCTCCTCCACCGGGCTGGGGTCTGCAAGAGCAAAAGGACGTAGGGCTGGTGATAGAGGCTGGTTATTGTGGTGGCCATCTAACATGGCTGAAGCCCTTAAAACAACAGCTTACCTCCCAGTGACCACTTCCTCCCTCTCCCCCAACCCAGTCCTGGATGGTTTCCTCTCACCCTTCCTACGCACACAGGAGAGGCCCCAGTCAGCTCCTTAGGTGTCACTAAATCTGCCCCTCAAACTCCACCCCAGCAAAAGTCCTTAAAGTCTCAGCTTGCTTTGTCTCAGGTCAGAGAATCTCTCCCCATCTGCTCTTGATGGTCTCCATGTCTTTAGGGTTAATAAAGGCTTCTTGGGCCAGGGAGATGGCTCAGTGGAATAAGTGCTTCCCTGGCAAGCACAAGGGCCTGAGTTCAATCCATTCCGCAAAAAAAAAAAAAAAAAAAAAACCTTTTATCTTTCCTATCTCTTTATGCCACCAAAAAGCCTAAGTCAGCAGGGCCGTGGTCTCACGATCAGGGTCCTGCCTCTCTGGTAGGGTTCCCACTTGCAGAGCCCCACGAGCCAAAGGGTGGGGGACGTAGACACAGGGTGCTGCTTGGCACCTAGAGCCACTCATGGAAAGTTGGCCCCACTTCCCATTTAGTTTTTTGTTGTCTTTGAGACAGGGTCTCACTGTGTAGTCCAGGTTGTCTTGAACTCACTAGGGGACCCAGGCTATCCTCAGTCTCATGGTGATCCTCCTGCCTCAGCCTCCTGAGTGCTGGGTGACAGGCTTACGCCACCACACTGTCCTCTCCTCACTTGGAAGCACTCGGCAGACCAAGTGGTTGACCCTGGGCCAATGCTCCCAGCACTCACCATGCACACGGCCGCTGGTCCGGTGGTGGAGCCCTGGTGTCTGGGGGAGACTCTGGGCCTGGGGCTCTGGGGTGAGCAGCCCCTGCAGTTCCTCAAACAGCTGGA